GCATACTGCTGCACCAAACGGTTTTAATATTTTTTCATTTATGGCTGCATGCTTAAAGACCTTGCGGTTGCAGTGACTTGCACTTTTTCCAAACACGCCATTGATTGACTGCTGACTGATCCAGCCACACTAGGCAACCCTCACCGAAACAATCTAGATTGATAAATAACACTGCAGGTAAGAGGGGAAATATGCATTATTGATTTTTGGGTGAACTGTCCCTTTAAAAAATAATTTGCCCAGCACTTCTCTCTTTTCTAAACCTCAGCCTGCATCCACCTAAACTGCAGCTCCTCTCCACGGGTCACAACATTAACCGTCTCTATTAAGCTCTGCACTCTGCATTCATCCGCTAAAGTGCAAACTCAATGCAGCATCTTGCAGACTCGGCAGCCCTCTGAAGGCGATAGGCAGATTTGCTACTTAGAGCTGTTCACAAAAACCCAACAGTGGCGGAATGCTAATAGGAGCTAGTCTGCCATGTCTCAGAGATTAGATTAAATATCAGGACCCTGATCCTGCTTCTCTAGCTGCTCCACCGCAGACAAATGTTTCAACACGCAACGCAGACTTACACCCAAATCCCATGGATGTGATAAGTCTGATTGTCACATCTGAGCTGAACCCCTTCCCAGTGCAAATCCTCATTGCAGCAGAATATGACAAAACATATGAAAGTAAAGTAAATAAAAGTGTTTTGTAACCTCTATAACTTTGGCAGGTTAGTACAGAACAAACAGCCGCACTGGTCTGTGGAATCCGGCTCTGTCGCAGAGCAGCATGTTGTTCCTGTCCATGCGATGAGATGTGTTCAACCAACTGTCACAAAATCTGTGACCAGGGAAACCTCCCACCACCAGCAGTGTACTAACGAGGAGTATTGTTGTTCTAGCAATGTAAGGACACAGAGGCTCATTTTCAAACAATGTCTGAATCATCATTTCTCATTAGTGGATTGCATATGGATGATGGATGTAGAACAGCAACATATACCACCTGAGCACACGTTGGCCTTGTCAGTGATGTGAGGGAGCCTGGAAGCTCGCGGGGATTTTGTCTTCATTGGGTTTAGGATGAATGTTTGCTATAAATGAACAAACAACTCTGTGGTGCATAAATACATCCTCCCACCACCCCCCTGCCTACTCATGGCTGCTGTATGAGCTGGCTGCAGCTGCCAACAAACATGGATGTGAACAAGGCAGGATATATAAAATAACGTTGAAAAGAAATACAAATGCATTAAACATGTTTGTTGGGCCTCAAGGAGACACAATGTGTTTTGGGGAAAGAGACTGAATGTAAGAACATACGTTTTATTTTTATGCAAGAAAACTCAATAGGACACTTTTACAGAGTAACTGAACATCTCTTCTTCACTGACTTCCTGTGGTTTAGCTTCTCACCTTGCCATGTTAATGTACAGGCGCACTCCAGCAACCCTTGACATCACTGCGCAACAAAGCACACTACTAAGAGGTCAAATGAAAGTGACAGCTTACTGTTAAGCAATCTAAAATGAATGGGAATGGTCCAGCTGTGTATGTGGAGCAGCATGTTTTGCAAAGATGAGCACTGAATTTTGTCTGAGCTGAACTTTTTGGAAAGCATAGACGATGTAGATACAATCTATAAGATAAATATTTCTGACATCCTCTGTACTGTTATTACAATACAGACTTTGATACCAAAAGAAAGTTTACTATGTGAAAATGCTCTTCTGTTATGACACTACGGCGGACTATGGAACCCGTGAGAGACAGAAACTCTCCTTGCACAGGGTTGTGATATGTAGTTTTCGTGCCTATTGATCTGCTGGTGTAGGTGCACATGGGATCCAGTGCTCTGAGGCTCCCATTTTACTTCTTTTTTTAATAAGATGAATTTTGCATTGGCTGCTGCAGTGTGCTTTCAGGAGACACACTGCGGTTCTGTCTATTTCACATTTTCTTCATCTTTTTTTGCCATTCAAACTCAGCTGCTGTCCGTGCAAACTCCGTACCCTGTGGAGCTCGTGCTGAAATGAAATTTCAGCTTGCACAGCCCAGTTGGTGAAAGCTGCGAATGTTGAGGAAATTCAATATTGACTTAAATCTTTCACAACGGTATGGAAGTAGTATTGAAATTGTCTGACACCCATATTTCCAAGTTTATATTATGTGACCGGATGGGCCTCCCTGTGTTGAGATAAGCGTTCGCTCCACGTCCACCTCTGGGCCAGACGGGGCATGAACGGCTGGAGCCTGGTAGGCCCTGAGGTCCAGCGGCATCTGTCAGGAGCTGTGATGAGTGTTCACATCAAGGTCTTTGCTGATCACCGCTGTCCTGGCTGTGTTCAACATGTGAGGGAGTCACCTGCATGGTCCGCCATGCTCGACTTGTCAGGAGAGATCTCGTTTTGCTAACTCCCTGACCTCCACACCGATCCATCCTCCGCAGAGCGCCCTTGACTTTGACCGGATGATTTACTAAACACTCCTCCTCGGTGCGCTGCTCTGCTCTCTGTGATGGAACGCTTCTATTTGTGCTCCCCAGGCCCTGAGAGCATATGCTGAAGGACTTTGCAGGTCATTTGCAAAGTGTGATATTCTAGGCTGAAGTTTTGGGGCAAAATAGCCAATCAATAGCACATGAAGTATGTTAACAGTTTCAGGTGCTTTGGGGTCCTTAGGTATGGCAGTAATCTGTGCCGTTTCTTTCTGCTATATTTGACTCTGTTCGTCTCATATTGATTTAAAGAAATAGCATCAGTTGATGAAATGTTTTGCATTTGTTGTTCCATATGAAGAGTTTGTTTTTAGGAATAGGTTTTGGTGCACAGGAAGCCATGCATTTCAACTGTAGAACAGAGGATTGCAGGATTTAAACGCATCCTCATACAACGGCTTGTGTGATATCTTACAAAAAGTTAGTCAATTTTTTCCAACGAAAGTCCAGCAACACGTGTCGTTTTCCGCTTTGTCAAAAAAGAGGGTTGCGATCCCAGGAAAGCTGCCTTAAATGAAGGAATACAGTTCGATATGAAAGTAGGCTAAAGGGACACAAAGCATATAATGAGTGAGGATGAAATCTAATAATCATTTTAAAGCAAGTATGTATAACATAAGAATCATGAAGTGATTTAACAAATGTAAACTGATAATAATAATGTACGTGTAACTGAGTAAAGTGAAGTCTGTGTGGGGTGGAAAGAGCTGATGTAAGCAGGGTGGGGGCCTTAAAGGATGAGATCATAACAGATGTTGGGGTGATGTCCGAACATATCCACGAGTGTAACCTGAAACACGCTCGAACATTGAGGAAGTGAGAGCATCCACACACAGAAAGTTAGGGTGTTGTTCGCAGCACACACACATAATCAATGATGTCATGTAAATCACATGCCGAGGAAGGGAGTGTTGGGGAGGAGGGGGGAGAGAGAGCTCAAAGGGTATAAAAAGAGAGACTTGCAAATAGCAAGACGGGATTCAACGCGGGAGCCACCCAAGTGCTCCACGGAGGAAACATCGGATCTCGACAGCCGCATCGGAGGACTTCGTCTCTGTTCACGGAAAGAAGACAGCCGTTCCTGGACAAAGATTGAAAGACGGAGATTTTCCTCTCCCCCCTGTTTGACTTTAACAACCGGACAACAGATGGACGCAGCCACCCCAAAGACTTTGTACTGAGCCTGAGGGATCGCTGAACGGACTTCGTTGGCCGCGCAGGAGGAGCCGAAGGTTCGGCCGGACCTTCGCTCCTAAAAACACCAAAAGGACTTTTTACCACATCGTGAATCCAGCTCCACCGAGCCGCCTCGGCATCGAAAACATGCATACATTATTTTCAAAATAAAGCTTGCATCTTCACAGGAAACAACTTATTTAGGATTAGGAAACGAAAGTACTTGGTTAGGTTGAGGAGAAGATTGTGCCATTACTGAAGTACTGAAGTACGCAAGTTAAGTAATAAATAAATCAATGTCGAAAGAGCAGTTTTTGGTTTGACCAGTAATAACTTTAACTCAGGAGCAAGTGACATACTGTTCCATTTGGCCGGATAAATAAAGGTGCAGATTCTGCCACAGATTAGATGATCATGGATATGGGGTGGTAAACTGAGATGTTCAGTTTATTTTAAGCCCAGGTCCTATTACTAGCTTTTTCTGGAGCTTTCAGCAGCATCTCTTGGTTTTCTACAGATGAAGTTTGCTCAGTTGATAACATGGTAAACAAGAAGTTTACTCTGGCCAACATGATTTATTTTGCATCAGTGTGTTGGCACTATGCTTTTTTTTTTTAAAACACTGTACACAGATCTCATCCATTCATCCCTCCAGCTGTAACACTGAACTTTTTATCTTCATCATCATGACCATTAGCTCCTTTATCATCAAACAGATGATGCTTTGCAGAAAACCTAGTTTTCTGTTGATATGCATAGAGATAGTTCATGTTGGCGTGTATTTGGGTGTTTAGACCTTTGAGTGTGGGTGTGTGCAGCCATCTGTGAGCATATGTGTGCACTGTGCAGATGCAGATGTGTGCATTCATGTGTGGGTGTGAGCCAGCAAGGAAAAAGGGGATAATCTCAGTTCATGTGGGAAAGCATGCTGTTTTTTCATATTTCATGCTGCATATCTGCATCTTTGTCCTGGATAATAATATTGAATAATGGCACTGCATGACATGATGTGTAAATCTGAGTTATTACACTGTGTGTCAGAGAGATTATTGCACGTTCAAAAAAATGCATCAATAAAACTGCAGGTGTGTTCTACAGTAAAAGTGGGGATAACGAGGGAGGATACTGCATCAAGTGTAGTAGGCTGAAGTGGCCCTATCTAATTTGACTGCTGAGATATGTTAATTTATGACCGTCTCATAAGAATACCGCTTATCCCCACAGTCTCCCCCGGCAGCCCGCTGTTACAGCTCACACCATGTCTCTGAGCGCCTGATGCGCTGCACTTGAGTTGTTGCACTCTATTCCCTGATCACAGGACTACGTTGTGATTGCAGAATTATCAACACCTGAGTGATCTATCCACCCAGAGAAAAGGATCTGGGTCACATGACGTCCCAGATAGAGGCTGTCTCGGGGTCCCGGGGGGCCGATAACTAAAAGGCTACAATATGGAACAAACTGTACAAGACAAACACAAAATGTATGCCAATCACAGTAGAATAGATATTGTTTTGAATGAAATTTCACTATCTAGATGCTTTATACATTGTGTGTTAACACGGTTATTGTCACTTTATTTCTGCCCATGAATATGTGATTTCTTAAAGGGAAATTGCTATTTATACTTGGATTTTATCTCATATTTTGGCCACCCATCCAACTTGCATTAGCAAGATTGTACTCAATAGGCAATTACTTCAGGCAGAGCACTCGCATTAAGCCAAGTTCACAAAACACAACCTTCAAAGTCGTTAGATCGCTGCGCTGTTCCCACTACACAACTTGCTGCCTTGTTAGCGGGAGTTGTGAAGTTGGTGTGACTGACCGGCGACAGGGGCTAACACACTACAAGATATTTCACCAGGAGGAAGCCCAGATGTCTGGTCTCCAAATTATGCGTGAAATGACACAGGAAAATATCATACCTGTGTCCAAAATCATGCTTGCTGATGTTGTTTGCTCATGTGTTTACCAAATAGTTTCCTTGTGTCTTAACTGCGTAATTATGAATCCCACTGTATTTATTGGCAAGACCTACCCTGCGTAGCTCGTTGAGACAGAGACGATTGGTTAATGTTAGGCATTGACCACAGGTAGTGGGGGTAAGGATAGCCCATTGGCCAGAGCATAGGACCTGAACAAAACAGAACAGCAGAAACTCAGACATTTTGGAATACGGAGACATAAGTAAAACTTGCAAGAGTAAAATGTTTAGTGTCGTGTTTAACTCTCAGGTTCTACTCTGCTGAACTTGTAAGATAAGATCAAAGTTCAATGATTCCTGGTGGCATCAGATAACGATTTCAAACGAGGCAGATAGACATTTAAGGTGATCACATTCAACTCGTGAAAATTATTTAAAACTTTAATATTTCTGGTATAGGGTGTAGTTGGGCCTGTGGCTCCATCTTAGATCTTTTAACCATTGTATTGCCTGTCTCCGTGGTCTTTCAGAGGGGCCCTGTTGAATTGATGATACAGATGAAAGATGGAAGATAATAAAATATATGAATGTAACTTTGAACTCATCTGTCTTTATTTTTCTGTTTCTCACCCAGGTACCCATGTATGACTCTACAATGGACCACATCATCTACTGCCTGCTGGTCCTAGGAGCCACAGTGATGACCACCTATGCATGCCCGAAGTACTGTGTATGCCAGAATCTGTCCGAGTCCCTCGGGACATTGTGTCCCTCCAAAGGCCTTCTTTTCGTGCCTCTGGACATTGACCGCAGCACGGTGGAGCTCCGGCTAGGAGGCAACTACATCCTCCGCATTACGCAGCTGGACTTTGCCAATATGACAGACCTGGTGGACCTGACCCTCTCCAGGAACACCATTAGTTACATTCAGCCCTTCTCTTTTGGCGACTTGGAAACACTGCGCTCACTTCATCTGGACAACAACCGCTTGATCGAGCTAGGCCCTGATGACCTGCGAGGCTTGGTCAACCTGCAGCACCTCATCATTAACAACAACCAACTTGGACGCATCTCTGACAAGACCTTTGAGGACATGGCACCTTCCTTGGAAGATGTGGATCTCTCCTACAACAACTTGATATCTCTGCCCTGGAACTCTGTCCGCCAGATGATTAATCTGCACCAGCTTAGTCTGGACCACAACCTGTTGGACTTTATTCCAGAAGGCACCTTCACTGACCTGGAAAGGCTGGCGAGATTGGACCTGACCTCGAATCGCTTGCAGAAGCTACCCCCAGACCCCATCTTTGCCCGCGCCCAGGACTCAATGATGCTGACTACACCTTATGCACCCCAACTGTCCCTAAGTATAGGCGGAAACCCATTGCACTGCAATTGTGAGATGCTGTGGCTGAGGAGGCTTGAGAGAGATGACGACCTAGAAACTTGTGCGTCCCCTCCTGCCCTGAAGGGTCGTTACTTTTGGAATGTGAAGGAGGAGGAGTTTTTGTGTCAGCCACCTCTCATTACTCAGCACACCCACAGAATGCTGGTCCTGGAGGGCCAGACGGCCAACCTCAGGTGCGAAGCAACTGGAGACCCTTCCCCTACCATCCACTGGATCTCCCCTGAGGATCGGCTGCTTGGCAACTCCTCCCGGACCGCAGTGTACAGCAATGGAACCCTAAGCATCACCATCACAACCTCCAAGGACTATGGCACCTTCACCTGCATTGCTGCTAACGTAGCTGGGGAGTCCACCGCCTCCGTGGAGGTGTCCATCATTCAGCTCCCCCACCTCAGCAATGGCACCGGGCAGCCAGCACCACCGAAGTCACGTCTCTCTGATATCACAGGGACCACCAGGATCAGCAAAGGCGTTCCCAAGAGCCAACCAGAGAGGGCCGTGTCCGTCTCTGAAGTGACAGCTGTTTCAGCACTGGTCAAGTGGACAGTGAGCAAATCATCCCCCAAGGTGAAGATGTACCAGCTCCAGTACAACTGCTCTGACGATGAGGTTCTAATTTACAGGTAAACACTTACACATTCTTTTAAAAAATCTTGAAGTGGAGCCCAGCTTTTGCCAAGTGCCCCAGTAAGCCATGACAGTGTCACAGCGAGCCAGCATGCACAATACCAGGACCCTGAAACTGAATCAGCTAAATGGAATTATTCAATAATTAATTTTAGTACTTATACCAGTGACGCTGTCCCCATGACACCCGCTGTAAACTGCCTGCCCAGCACCAAACCACAGGCAAAGTTAGGAACTAGCTGGTGAATATAGTGGAACATCAAGTCTCTTTTATTAGGAGTTGGTGTCGAACAAATCAGATTATTGGAAAATGCATAATGTGGCTAGAAACACAGCTCCTCGTGAAAGATAAGTTTGTGTCTGCTGGATGTATGAATTCATAATAGTTTGCTAATAATCCATACATTTTCGACTAAATTGAAAAGTCATTTCCACAGCAGAAATCATTTGTTTTGGAAACTGCCTGAAACAGCGATCTGTCTGTTTTAAAACCCCAATTTGAAAGATTACAGTTGGCATTACTTTAGCTGAGTTCCAGACAACTTGCAACTCAAAAAGGAAAAGAACAATGGAAAGCCACGCGAAGTCGGAGTTACTACTTGTAAACTCGGGGCAAATCCACTCATCCAGACTTCACATAGAAGCAGCACACAACAATGGAAGTGCACATTGTGAATGGTAGCTAAAAGGCAATGTAAGCATATTTGCTGGATTTAATTAAAGTGATTCATACCATCAAATAGTAAAATCTGTTCTGCATATAAATGTATGTCATCCTGTGTTGCCATATTATTAGGTAGCTGGTTACAGTAAACAATCTCTAAAAGTGATCTGCTATGCAAAAAAAAGCATGTGGAGGCTGCACTGCTGAAAGTTAAACTGTCTCTACACTTGCCAAAGAAAGATCCGTTTCTCGCGGTCAGCCATGGTTTTTGCTTATGTTTAGCGTTGTGCACCTGGAAAGCTCGGAGGCCAGAAGTTTGAAATTTCAACTAAAATGCTGACCTCCAAGTTCTTTGGAACGCAGCATCCGTACATCATTACTGGAAAATGCACATATTCTATATATATATATATATGTGGATGTAGGTATTGTCCTTTGTCCATAGAATTGCAGTAAAAACAACTCTTTTCCCTTCTACCTCACCTTTTCATCATGTGATGTCTCCTTCACTAAGCACAGTGCTGCACTATACTGGGCTCGATTGTGCTCAGCAGTCCAGAACCAGAAGGGCAATTTCTAAGCTCAGGAGGCAAGGGTTCCTGCCAATCCAGCAGCAGTTGATGGGGATCAAACTGTATTAGATGAGGCTTGTATTCCACCACCACGGCCTCTAAAATTAATGTGAAACCAGCCAGAAAAAAAATCCAATTACTTAATGCCATATAAATCTCTACTCAAAACTGTGGAAAGCAAGATATTTAGAGCTGTAGCCTCAGGGTTGTAGCCACCCCCTTTGTTGCAATGTTCTCCTTCATTATGAAGCATATTTTCTTTCTTGTTTCAGCCAGATGGAAATGCAGGAAGAGTGTTTTTCAGACCTTTATGTAATCATATAGTACAACTCTGGCAAATAGTAATATAATTAATTCTATTCAGGCTATTTTTTCAGTTCTTGCTTAAAACATTTTAATTTGAAAAATCAACATTTTTGAATTTAAATATGTCCTAATTTAGAAAGATTAGATAATAAAAAAGACACTATTCATGTTGTGTAAATATTTAAATAGCATACACTGTACATATGTACTAAGCTACACAGGACTTATAAACATGACAGCTGTTGTAAGTCGGATCATAAGGACATCAATTTTCATTTATTTATTTATGAGGGCAACGCATATTAATCAGCATTTCAGTAAATGTGCCAGTGTTGGCCAGCTGGTCCATTTTCAACTGCAGTCCTTTGGCTGGATGTATTGAAACCAGTGAGATGAAGGACAACAAGACGGCATAAAACAGCAACCAAATGGGTATCCTCAAGACCGTGCACCAGCCATGCAAGCAACAGGAAACGGCAATATACCAGTGTAGTAATACAGCAACAACAACATGCAGACAGGCAGAACAGCAATAATCGACATGTTGATCTCCATGTTACTGTAAAATTTACAGTCACAAGTTAGTAAAATGGTGATATCGTATAAGTACAGAGCTTTGGTTGAATGCTGGTAAACAGTTCGTGTAGAGAACAGAACCAATAGCATGGGCCGAAATGCAATCTGGGAACCCACCGGCTACCATATAACGACGGTGGCTTGAAATTAGCTTTTAAACTGACTGCTTGTGAAACAACCTGGTTGTGTCGAGTTGCTAATCGGACTGTAAAAGTAAGTCTTGGCCCGGATATCCACTTGCTACACTGGAGACACTGCAGAGGCTTATCCCTCGTCAGACATGTAGCCGATGGGTTCGTCATTTTATGCATTTTGTCCAGTAACAGATAAGCATGAAATGCATTAAATCGATATAAGAGGTTTGGCCTCTTGCCTGCCCCGCAGATGTTGCTGTTGAAGCATTTCAATAAGTTTGTCTTTCCAAAGAAGAGAGAAAAATATTTTATAAATGATACCGAGATCTGTTTTTTTTATTTTAATACTTTGCCTCTCAGACATAGAGGAGAAGCAACCTCCTCTGCCTCTATCGACTGGCCTCCTCTGATTTACAGTATATAACAGCAATGACATTTAAACAGTAAGACAATAGTGCAATGGTGCAGAGTGCAAAGGGTGCAGGAATAAATATGGAATGATAAATGTTGCTTCATATATTTGTGTTCAGTGTGTATGCAGTAGTGTGCATATTTCATACAATAGTGTGCATATTGCATATTTTTGTATACAAAAATATGCAGCGGCTCTGTGGTGGTTTGTATTCTAAGCTTAGTTGTGGATGAATAAGATCAGTAGAAAAGTGAAATAACATGTTTTGTGTGTGGATGATGTGGCTCATTGGGAGCCTCCAACCGAACCTTGCGTAGCCCCACTGATGGTGTCTGCTGAGTATGTCTTGAATTTGAATATCAGACAAATAAGAGCTGAACCAACAAGTCCTTAATGCCAACCCAGGCTGATCAATTAAGATGTTAGCAAAAGCTCTACCAAATCTAGAGGGATTAGAGCTTTCATGCTGCCATGAGAATGTGATTTTCTACCGTAATAAGGGCAGTCTCTGTCGTGTACGTTGTTCTGAAAGCAGCCTGACATGTATCACACACTGTTTCATAAAAGCTGAATTGAATTCAGAAAACTTGAGTCAACTCTCAGTAAAAGTTTAAATAAGAATGGAAGTTTGCAAAAAGGTCTGTAGCTGCTGGGATTCAAGGGATCCAGACAACTTAATCATTTCAGCTGTATGCCACTGTGCGCAAGAGGCAAGAGTTGTTTCCTCTTCACACCCTGGAGCTGGGGGACAATGTTATCACTGCTCCAGTTTCCCTGATTGGCACATTGTTCCTTGAACTAAAGGTTTAACCGTGATCTTTTATGAAGGATGGGTGAACGTGGAGGCCTGAGGGCACAGACTTTGCACATTAAAAAAAATGTGCAATTGCAAGGCTTAAAATGTTTTTTTTGTAGTTCCTTTGTAAAGTGTACTATTCTGAGATACTTTCAAAGTTTTTGACTGTGACATTATCAGACGAGGGTAGAGTTGTACAGTAAAAGTAATGGTACATTTATAATAATAAGTACTCAAGTAAAGCCGAGGACTTTGACTCAGGAGAACGCTGGTCCTCTCCTCTGTGAAACCAAACGTCAACGTTGACTTATTGTAAAGGGACGGAATGTTACACAAGTGGAAATTGACACATAAAACTGACGTTAGAGGGGTACATAGAGCTTTACAGTCTGAAGTGTAGGGCCATTGACCAATCTGGAGTATTTGACAGCTTGGGACTGAGAATGTGTTGTCTTGGGAGGATCTAATATGCATGAACCATGAAACTATAATGTAAAGAAAGGTTGATATGAAAAGTATCAACATGTTACAGTATCCTTATAATTACCGAAACAATTCAGTACTCCAAACTAATCAAGTCGTACAGACTATAAGGGTAGTTCAGTAACAAAGACCCGACAAATATCAGGGACAAAGAGTAGGCAGAGTAGGCAAAGAGAGGCAAAGAGTAACCCAGCATTTTGTGCCCATCAAATGGCTAGTTACGAGATAATGACGTGAACTTTGTGATGGATATTATTTAATAGATGAATTGGCTGTTCAATACAGTTGTGTGATCATCTATTTTTTAACTGTTATTAGTCATTTTATGTAATTGCAATCCAGTCAGGCGGCAACCTCCGGATCTAAAAAGTGAATCCAATGCAGAAGTGCCTTAAACTTGCATTCTCTCTAATGGCCTTCAGGGGGCAACTGTGTAGAAATCTATGACACAATGACTCTACTTCTGACTTGATGTATTACCTCAGTAAACATTGTAAACATGACTTTATGGTCACAATCACTAATTTCAAGTCGTCTTTAATTATGGTCTCATTTAGAGTCAAATAGACCATAAAGTGGAGTATGCTTTAGGGCGGGGCTACCTTGTGATTGACAGGCCGTTACCACGGCGTTGTCCGGTCTGGGAGTCTCTGAATCCAGCAAAATAAATTGTCTTCATCAAGCTACATGAATGGCCTGCCCAATACAATGCTAAATACCTTTGCACAGAAACAAACCATTAGTCGTTCCATCTCATTTGGATCATGTTATAGCTTCATCCATTATTATTATTGCTCTAAAGGGGTGTGGCTACCTCAACAGAAAGCCACATTAGCTCACCCGCCATCTGGTACACCATTACAAAAGTGTAAAAGTATACATTTTTCTCCCGAAATGTAGACCATTAGAGTAAAGGAGAGCGTGTTGAATTCAAACTACTTTTAGAACTACAATATACTCAAAAAGGTTACTTAATTAAATGCAAAGTGTCCCATTACCCATTACTGTCCACCTCTGATGTAAAAATGCACCGCATAATTCCTGCTCATGAATAGGTGATTCTCTTCAGTTCTTTATGTGGCTGTGGTAATGGAAGCTGCAGGTCAGCTGCCGCCTGTCAGTGATATTTCAATAAAATTGCAATACGCAGGGCAATACTTCGCCACATAATGGCTTCAGTGTCACATGTCATGGGATTTAGTGTTAGTCTGTTACAGGGAGGTATGTCAGGACTGAAAGCACTCACCTTAGGCCACCATTACTGGCTATTAGCTGAGCTGAAGAGACTGTTGGATGCATGGCTTCTATACTGAAAAGCGTACTGTAAGGTATTGATCACAGCTCTCACAACAACATACCAGCTTATTTTGAAATGCCAAGCTTCCTCCAGGAGCCGTTCAAGAAAAAGATCATGTTGGAATGTGTTCTTCAGCAAGCAGCAACAAAATACAGGAATGTGTGACAAACATTTCTTTTATGTGGTAGAGAAAAGAGTGTGTCAGCGATATTCAATGTAAAGTGACCACATGGTCAAATCCTCGCACCTTTATTACAATTACATTCCAAGAATCCTCTATGGATGAACTCTCATGTCTTTTACACAGAGAATCAAAAGCTCAGAACGCGTACAGGATGTTGAGCTTTGGAAACAGCAGTTGACAAAACAATCTCAGCTCAATGTCGTCTTACTTGCTTTTGATGGAGATGCTCGAACGTCCTGTTACTCTGAACACGCTGACTGTATGTATACTGTTCCAGGCTGTCTTCATCCACTGTTCGCACTTATACCCACAAAAAGTTATGTGCTGTAATTTCGAAATAACTCCACAAACGAAAAACACAGAAAACATAGTTATTTACTTTACAAAAGTACTTATTTTACTGATCGAGTATGTGAATACATTTTTTATAACATACACAAACCGTCGTATGAGGATACATTGACTGTCCATGTAGGCTTAAAAGACTATAGGACTTAAAGTGAATTCCTGACCGTTGAAAGTCCATGAAAACTGAGCAACTCCATCTGCTGATGAAGACTGTGGTACGGTTGAAAGCTCCAGAATAAGAGATAAAATAGTTTTTTTCTCATGAGTATAATTTATTTACTGCATTACAACTAATCTTTACACATAACAACTTGATCAGAGTACAAGTGCATTGCTAAGATCATTTAAAGAAGACCAGCAATTCAAGGATACAAAAACAAAGAAAGAAATATTATCAAAAAGTTATAAAGTAAATGTTTAACCGGGATTAAACGGCGTGATCTGGCCTGTGTTGCACTTAAACGGTCTGTTGATACGAGACAAAAATACAAACATATTAACAATAGAAACATGATAATATGCAGCAATCATATCTATAGCATGAATATACAATGTGCTGTTTAATATTTACATATAAAGTGAGTATGTTACTTATATCTCAATGTATAATTATATATGAGAATGTGCAAAGAAGATTAAGGAAGGAAGATTAAGTGTAGAGTCAAAAAAACAGGAGAGAACGTGCACGAGTGCCTGGGATAGCTTTTCTAAAGCCCCCTCCAGACACGCACTTTATTGCATTAATCTGATCGTAATTCATTTATTTTAGTCACTTCAGTCATTTTGTAAAAGTCATGACAGCAGTTTCTTCAGTTCAAAGTTCACCACCTAAAGATGAAGGAATTCTAATTCCCCCATAATAGAGTTTGCAATGAGATAGTTTGAGATGGATTGTATGCGTTGGATTTCTGTTTTACAAAGAAAAATAGGCCATGACTTAAATTTTGGCAGCAAATGAGATTTTTGTCATTTTGGTTTGTCAGCGTCGGGTCAGAGAAGCATAAGAGGATCAAGAAATAAACTCTTCGTACATAAACAAATCACAACATTCTCAGCCGCGTCTTAGCATCATTTGCTGCAGTAAAAAAAACATCTGAGATTCATCTGAGAACAGAGGAGGGAAATAACTGAGTACATTGTACTTTGAGACATCTATACGTTACTTGGGTATGTCCATGCTACTTTAGAGCGAAATGTACTCTTTAGTCCACTACATTTATATGACAGCTTTCGTTTCTAGTTACATTGCAGATGAGGATTTTCTATACACAGATAAGTTAAAAACATAATGAAAGGGGCAATTCTGCATAATGAGTATTACAGTTTATACTTAAGTGTATTTGTCTTTATCATACCTAAGTACAATTTGACTGGTAATCATCTATACTCTGTACTAAGATATTTATACTTTTCCATAAGTAAAATATCTGGATACTTCTTCTACCGCTGGATTTAACAGTTCAGAGTTAATCATTGAGAAATCTTTTTTTTTAAAGGGACAGTGTGTAGGATTTGTGGCTGCAGATGCATCTAACTGAACAGCACTCCACTCACTCCTCCTCCCACTCCAACACGGTGGTGCTGTGAGCAGTTGAATCTAAACCCGTTTGCCTTGCTCAAAGGCCGTCCTCACCATAATTACATGACGAAAGACCACACTCTTCACAAGAATGTCTCGCTTGAGTTGAACAATGTTAACTCATGCGGAAAATGCAAATGACGCAAATTCCATGTATTCATGCCATTCGCGTCCCTCCCCATTTGGTAATCACCCTCTGCTGTTCAATTCATCGAGATGTTTCAAATTTCAAGCCAGTCAATTTTTTTTAAAGTTGCGCTACAGGCGGCGAAAGTTGGCTGTTAAGTACTGATGTTTGTGCCATGATTGTCTTCATTGCCAGATCAACTCACTGCAGTGCTGGCTTTGTGTTTGCATGAGCTATGCTGTGTTATCAGCGTTATCTCAAGCGGAGACTTTAACACAAACCACAGGCCTAAGGTGGCAACGTTTTCAGCAACACCTTCCTCTTCCTAATGCATTCATCCATTACAGTTAGACGGAGAGGATGTTTTATTGCAACCAGGAGATATTCAAGGGTATAGACACCAGACACCGAACAATGCCACGGCCCATTTAATCCTCTACAATACGGCTGCAGAGTCTAAGTGTGAGGAGCGGCCAGTGAGAGACCATTAGGGATTTTGCTTATATAAGCATAATCAAATTTCCCAGCAGCACCCCGGATGTTTAGGCTGAATCGAAGGCAGGAGACCGCTTGGCTTGACCTTGTGTGTATTTGTCCAGAGGAAAAGAAAAGCCTTAAGAAATCACTACAGACAATGAATAATCATTCAGCCGTTCTTTGCAGCTGTAAAAAAGGAAGAATGGAGCTCATGAATTAGTGGTTGAGGACAGGAAAGATGCAGCCTGGAGTAACGATGTATTTGTTTTGTCAGCTCTTTCTTTGAGCTGAGAAAATATCTAGAATATTAAAACTATAACTGACAAATCTCTCGCTAAGCTCAAAGAAGCGTAAGCCCGTCTCCTCCTGTGTCTCCTCTCTCGCTCCCCTGCTTTCACTCTGATTAATGCTACGGCCTCGCGCCGTCATCGGGAACTAAGCAGGCCACTCCACAAATTGCCTTTTCGCAGCCCAAAGGGACAAGAAATGTTTTTTATCTCCCCGTGATAAGCATTGGCATACGTTTCTGTGGACTCTGGCTATATTCCTATGAATTGAAATGAATTAGCCAGTCTATGCAGACAACCTGAAATCAATTAGACCCAGACAGAGGAGCGAGCAGTGCACAGCGAAAGCATCACTGGGCTAAAGAATTTCACTCCCAAACCGCGGCAGCCAATTATAATAGTGTAATGAACTGTAGCACAAGTTGGACAAGTGGAACTTTTGTATTGGAAAGCAGCTTCTTTTTGTTTGAGCTGTGGTGAGTAATTGGGATAAGGCAAAACACTGAGGATGAACTCATCTGTGATCCTTGTCGCATGTCAGATAAATGTCCTTTTGGTGAAAGAATGTGAGATAGCCATCCGTTGTTTGTTTTTTTGCATTTCTCTGTGGATTGAGCCCACAGTATCAATAAAGCACAAAGACCTGCGGCAACCATGCCCATGGCACCTCTAAAATGATAATATAAATCTCCAGCTTGGCTGAAAAAAGTGGGTTAATATGACCCTGCCTAGTTTTAATCAACCTTCAGAAATGAACACAGAAACCATTAGCCCGATTAGAAGCTGATATGAAACAGTGATCTTGACATAAACAGTTTATAATTAAGGTAGATTTTCAGACGTAAAACTGAACAACGGTCAGAGCTGGCAGAATTCTGAGAATGATTCGGCCGAAAGGTGAGACGGTCAGGTTCATCATGACTGATGTGAATCCCTGCAGGAGAAACTGACTCTGGGCATGAACGAGGGCTACCATTCAAACAGCAGGCGTGAGCGGTACAACCACCGGTCATCTGGCCCCTGAGCAGCTCGCCTCGGGCAGTTGGGAGGCTCGCTGGAGTCGCGCACACAAAATGTGCTTCACTCTCTGTCTGCTTATTTATTTATCACTGCTCCGAAGCTCCAATATCAAATGGACCCTCTGTTCACTGCTGCAAGACAGATGGCTATGAGAGATAAAGCCAATTACTCTTGGCTGTCTGTTAAAGCAGCCACCGCAGAGACTAAGCAGTGGAGAGAAACTCCAGGGAATGCAAATGAAAATCCTGATTCTCCTTTAATGAAAAATTGGACAGTGAATAGAGCTTGCATTCCCTCCTGCAGCAGTTAGTTAAGTCTCCATGTGCTGAAATTACATGTGTACCCTGTTCAGATGCTGATGGTTCAATCATTTATAGCATTTACTATATGCCTCCTCTTTGTTTTCAGAGCTGCTTCTGTCTTTAAGAGAGATATCAGAAGAGGAAGACCTCTTTATCTTAATCGAGTAATTAACCTGCAGGTTTTGTTTTTCCTTGTCTTTGTTCAGGATGATCCCGGCCTCCAGCAAAGCTTTCTTGGTGACGAATCTGGTGTCGGGAACCCGCTACGATCTGTGCGTGCTGGCCGCCTGGGACGACACCGCCACCACGCTCACGGCCACCAACGTCGTGGGCTGCACCAATTTCTTCACCCAGGACAACTACCCTCAGTGCCAGTCGCTGCCCAGCCAGCTGCTGGGAGGCACCATGATCCTGGTGGTGGGGGGCATCATCGTAGCCACCCTGCTGGTCTTCATCGTCATCCTCATGCTGCGTTACAAAGCCGCCGATACGGAACCCCCAGCGGGCAAACTGACCAGTGTCAGTGACACTCACTCTCAGACCAACGGGGGGCGAGTCGGGCCAAACGGACTTCTTATGCCCCCGTCTCAGCCTGAGCCGAAGGTCAAGATCAAAGTGGCCCTGCAGGACGAGGTGGTGGAGTTCAAGTGTGGCTCCCTCCAAAGCAGTCTCACCTCTTCTTCCTCATCCTCAGGCTCCATGGTGGGGGGCCCGTACAGCCCCAACAGCACACTTGCCAACATTTGGAGGTCAGCTCCCTCCAAGCCTCGGTCCAACCTGGACCACCTGCTCGGGGCCTTGACCTCGCTGGAGCTGCGGGGGCTACAGGGCCGCAACCTGGGGGGCGCCAGTAGCGCAGCGGCGGCAGCAGAGAAACCCCGCACAGACAAGGACCCGCTGCTGGGCCGGACGCTGGACTCCAGCCTCAGCCGGCTCCTCATGCTACCTCAGGACTCTAAGCCAAAAAGGAGCCAGTCCTTCGACATGGGAGACATAACAGGCGCCGGGGCCGCTCAGCTGTGCAACAAATCCCGCAGGTTCAGCAGTATCTGGACTAAGAGGAGCCTGTCTGTAAATGGCATGCTGCTGCAGTGCGAGGAGGAGGGGGACACGGGAGGGAGCAAGGGGACAATAGACAGCGCCGACTGGGTGATGGAGAGTACTGTCTAGGGAAGATGGAGGACTGTCAAACACTGCCTAAATGGACCGCCAACGGCCATGCCAAGACAGACCCGCTGGTCTAAGAGCCTTTGTCCTGCATGAAGCACACTCATTTTCATCCCCTCCACTCCACCGCTCAGACTCAAGTGGGACAGGACGAGGGGTGTTCACAGTCATAGCCAAAAACAAACTTTTGGAATAAGACCTTTGGATTGTTTTGGCCCGCACTTTGTACAGAGATGAACTAAAATGGATGGTCGGCCTCAAAGAGCTGAAGGGAAATGACAGAGCTGTGCTGTTATGTGATCATGCACATGGACTGCTATTATACTGTATACATTTAAAGTATGTAATGAAATTGAAGTTTTATATTTTTGATTTTGCTGGTCAAACACAAATGATCCCTTCCTGGTCTCTGCCTTGACATAAGAGCAAGGCGCGACCAGTGGTTACACTACAAAATCTGTAAATTCATCCTCATATCAGTTACCTACTGATGCAGTTTATCCTCCTCTGACGGAATGGTGAAGTATATAAACGTAGATGTGATGCTTTGATTCATGAAGATTTAAGAAAAAAGATTTATTGACAAAGCTGTATGTGAATATATTTACTTTCTATACAGAGTATATATTTGAGGGGTCACTCAATAATGCTAATCATATCAAATTTTATGTGACTGCATAGATTATAAAACCCCATTATCTCCTAAACTATGGCTGTACTGTGTGTGAAGACTCGGTTAATTGTTTAAAAAATGCCAAAATATTGAAGCGGAGAGTGGTGCAATGGCCAGGGTGTTCCAAGACTATTTAGTTTGTGTATATTTGTCCAATAGTGAAATGAATGGGTTTTTATCGGTTTTATTGTTGTTAATGTAGAAGTTATTTTTTAAAAGATGCACTCACTGTTTCGTCACAGAATATCGCCCAAACACCAGAGAAACTCCCCCCAGTCCACTGAAACTAACAACGCATTCAGGGCAATGTTGGACAAAATCAGGATGCATATTTTTGGAGGCTAATTCTGGTTCATAACAACTTGTTTATAGTTTTAAACATCAATTGTATCAGTAATAATAACACTGTAGTCACTAAAGTCATTGTTGAGATATGGAAACACGGCCACATAAATACAACGAAGCCCAGCAAGCCCAATAAATAAGAGCAGACAGACCATCAAACCAGTAGTTTATCTGAAAGTTCCCAACCCCGAGGACTAGTACTGGACCACAGGATCAGGAAGCAAGGAAACAATATGATGAAGCTAAAGAATAGCTGAGTAATAATCATATAACTTTACAGCCTATCATGGGCTATTCAAATTACCTTGACCTGGGGTCAGTTGTTACTGTAGTTTTCCTCATCACTTCCTGCCACGCCACCGGCAACAGTACACCGATCTGTACCAAAATAAGTCATCTGTATGTGATGTAACGGTCCATTATCACAGTACATACTTACTGAAAGGTACAATGAAGGACTCCAATAAAACTCCAAATCAGGGCGTCCTCATGGGATATTGTAAAGAAGCAAACCATAGACCATGTATATAAAGATGGACGACACAACAGCTTTCCATAAATGCTTCCAAAACATCTTAATCCCCCGCTGGTGGCTGGCTGTAGTATAGCTCATGAATCCCGCCCCCTCCATGTTAGTGGATGGGAGATGGGCCACCCTAAAAAAATGTATTGCACATAAAATTTCTTCAAAGATGGTTTCAGTCATTTTACGTTGTTCTTATCACGCTGATGTATGTTCACGTGTTCCTGATACGTTTCTTTGAATTATTAATTTGAAGCTGTAAAAAGAGGGTGTGACATCATGACTGATTAAAAGCTGCTGAGTGCGGAGCCGGACACTTGGGAATTTTACGTAGAATGGGAACGTGGAGAGGAGATGTAACTTTAACTTTCCATAACTGTGTTTGTCTGTTTCACACACGTAGATCTGTATAGACAAACTAACTGTATATATCTCTATATACAATCTACGGTTCATACAGTCACTGACCGTGTCGCTAGCTAGCTTAGCAACATCTTCACAGACAGTAAGGTTAGCCGGCGATTTCCTGTCGTCGTTTGTGTTCATATCCTGGATTGGCAGCAGACACTGAGATGTCCTTTCTAAAACATGAATCATGAGGCTGTGATGTAGAACCTGTGTCCTTTTGATCACACGTGATTTTATAAAGATATTAGGATTAGTTGTTGTGTCTTTCCAGCCAAACAGCTACTGTGGTGCTAACATTGCAGCTAGGGGGGCTCACGCTAACAAGCTGCGGCCGTGCTCGGCTCTCGATTTGGCACGTGTGGGCGGGACCTCGATACTGTAACTCCAGCTCCAAGCTCCGGCTCCAAGATGGCAGCTTCCGTATCCAGGATACTTTGGCTTCACTTTTGTACAGCGGGAAGTGGAGACGTGTTGTATGTCTATAGTCTACGGTGCAAACCATAGAACCACGGTGTGAACAAGCACAGCCTACCCCTTTCTATTGCAATGTTTCCAAGTTGTATAATACCAGAGTTTCCCTTTTCATTTGGGGTGAAGTAGCTATAGGTCATTGTTCAGTATCTTTCAAATATACAGGTCTAAGTATTCAGTCACTAAGTCTCTCATTTTCTCTACCAAGGTTGTGAGTTATAGACATAAAAAATACAGAAATTGTGCATACAAATGTTTGACATCTCATTGTGGAAACTAACTTCCTCTGTGATTGCCTCATGCACTGGTCAAAAGTTCATAGAATTTGTTCCGTCTGGAGGTGATATGGGTTTTTATAAGGGTTTAAATATGTATTAATGAACCTATTTAATGAAAGTTCATCGTCCAGAAAGTTTCCATTAAACAACATGAAGTTGTTTGCTTTATTTGTCTGGTGTTGCATGTTTCTGCCGAACTGATCCATGAGACAGTAAAGTCCAGTGTAAACATCCATATTGTCATTTCTCACGTGTTGTCTGAATGACTTTTTTTGTGATATTTCTGATATGACTGCGTGTGTACAGTGTCTCTATATATTGGATTATTTTTTGTTTGTACCATACTTCAGTTGGAATATGTGTTGCATTTGAAGAGGGGAGCAGCAGCAGCTCCACTGTGTTGTTACAGTGTTGTTGCACATGTCTTACCTGGAGCTGTAAAAGATGTTTGTGTGGTCAAATTTGTTGTTTTTGCTACTAAGATAAAAAACTAAAAATCTCCTGAGACAGCCTTGTTATGTCAGAGCTTTTCCTCTATGACTGCTGCAGTTCGCTTATGTGGGGACTGAAAAACTACAATAAAAAATAAATAAAGGTTATAAATGAAAACAAAAGTCATCATTAACGTGAGACCGACAGGGTGGAAGTGAAAGGTGATGAAAGTGGATTCGAATTGCAAAATGCCAATTTAATTGCAAATTAAACCAATAACCGTGGTAAATTGTATCCATTAATTTGGTTAATTCATAGGTGATTGGATAAAATGATGTTTATGTTCCGTAATCATCTACCGACATGAGAACACGCACTCTTATCGCACCGAGCGCTCAGTTTGTCGTTTGCTAAGCGTCAATGTTTGCTTTAACTGAACAAGTGAAACGATGTGATTAAATCTCGACAACACCAACAAACAAAATATGGTCAAATTAATTTTTACTTTGCTTAAAGCACCTATTGGCCACTTAGTGTTTCTTATAATCACATTATAATGCATTATAACAGTGATCATAATGCATTGTGAAAAGATTATAACACATTATGAACATTGCAAAATAAAATGTCCGTGAGTGACCAGCAGAATACTTAGGAAGTATTCTGATACTTCCTAATTGTCATTATAAAATGCTTTATGTGTTATGATTATTGTAATAAATCATATATCTATAGTGTATGTGCTTATAATTATAATTATACAGTGCTTTGCAAATGGTGGATTTTACCCTCAGTGTTGGGAGTGAGTCATTGCCCCAAGCAAGGGAGTTCAAGTATCTCGGGGTCATGTTCACGGGGGAGGGTCAAATGGAGCACGAGCTGGACAGGCGGTTCGGTGCGGCGGGCGTCGTACCAGAGCGCTGTGTGTGTGAAGAGGGAGCTGAGCCGGAAGGTAAAGCTCTCCATCTACCTCTTCTAACTGGTAAGAGGCCCCGGAGTAGGACCTGAACACGCTGGAGAGATTACATATCTCGGCTGGCCTGGGGAACACCTCGGGGTTCCCCAGGAAGAGCTGGAAAGCGATGCTTACCTTCCTAAACCTGCTGCTGCCCCCCCCGCAACCTGGCCCAGGATGAGCAAACGATGATGGATGGATGGATAGATATACAGTGCTATAAGGAGGTTTTAAAGCACTATAAGTATGTTTATAGTGACTTATAGACATTGGTGTCATAAAAAGCATTACCACAGAGTCAATAAAACATTTTCAAAAACTGAATCACAAATATCAGGTTGACAGCAAAATTAGCGTGGACAGACAGACAAAGAGGTAATAGTAAATGGTACTGGTGCTTTTATAGTGCCTTTCGAGTCTTCTGACCCCTCAAAGCACTTTCACACTTGCACTACCCTGCAAGGGGCCACCTGCCCATCAGGACTAACTAATCATTCACACCCAGTCACACACCGATGGCACAGCCTCGGGCAGCATTTTCGGGTTAAGTGTCTTGCCCAAAGACACATCGACATGGACTGGATTGAACTGCCGATCTTCTGAGCCACAGTCGCCCCGAGGTGCACTGTCACACACGCACACGCCAGAATACATAATCTCCTGGAGGAGATCATAATAAATAACTGGAATGTCTTTACATATCCCAAGCCGCAGCCTCTGTTACCCAACATGCATAGATGTATTCATGTCCTATAGTGGACCCCTAAATTGGCACCCAACAGGGAAGCAGATTAATGAATCAATCAGCTGAGAGCAAATGTGGCCCACCCAGACCAGGAGCCAGAGGCAGGCAAGATGACAGAACGTGATGCGGATAATAATATTTTAGATTTGGAGAGGCGAGCGCTGGAACTGCACGCCAGCAGCAATAGTCAAAGTATTTGCAGAGGTGCGCAGCTGGAAGCGTGGGGGGGCGTGGCTACCATGTGATTGACAGGTCGCCACTCCTCCAATGTACTTTCTTGGTCTTGTCTGTGTTTTTCGTCCACAATTAAAAATCGGACTCTGAACTATACGTCCAAGCAATGTAGGTATCTATGGCAACACATGCTGTTCACCCCTCTCTGCATGTATGAACTCTGCTTTACCAGGCTGCAGATATTTATCTGCCTTCAATTGAAAGTTCATCCCCCGAGACAGAATAGTTGTTGAATTGTCTTCATCCATCCAACCGCTTTTGAATTTATTGAGTCACTGTTAACTGCTTTAATGAAATCTTCCAATCACTTGATTAAATGGCGAGCTTTAAATGTCTCAACACCTCAGAGCTGCTCAGCACAACCAGAGCTGTGTGTTATAAAAAAAAAAACAGAAAACTGCAGCTCTGGCTCCCTGAGGCTATTGATGTATTTTCATCCTGCCTTCTTTCCACTCCGTTGGTTAAGTTTCTGCCCCGGCACCTGTCAGTCATCTAGATGAGCTGTCACCTTGCCTGAGCGAGCGGCTGAAGCACTCAGCATTTGTGAAGCTACCAGTAGCACAGAGGGGAACAACAATCTGCAATTTAAAAAAAGATTCCTGCTGAGGATTGTGATTATTTAGTTTGTCTCCATCAGCACTGAAAAGCCAAATAATATCCAATTTCCCTCTCACTGTTTTAGACTGTTCAGGATGCACTGTCTCTTCAAAAATGTGTTAACCCCCCTCAGGACAGCTACAGGTGTAAAACTCCAATAAAGAAACACTGAAGAAGGCTGATTTCTTGGGAGAGAAGTCATTTATGTCAACACTACGAGTGTAAAAGAAATCTTTAGTGCTGGTTAACTGGTAATTGAAGGAGGCATTTATTGAAGCTCGATCGAAGAGAATAGAGATGTGCGCTGCAAGTGAGCCATTGTGTATCGCCACCAGATTCAGAAGGTTACTTTCTGGCGTGGAGTGTTAAACCTTTGACCAGACTCAGGAGGCTCACCATGTGTCCAAACAACGTCATTCTTTACAGAAATATATATATATATATGTGGGAAGATTCTATTGGATAGACAGTTTCTTAAAGAAGAAACTGTGCTTCTCCTCAGTTAACCTGAACTGAATGAACACATGCAGTTCATTCTAAGTGGAGACAGTCCATCTGAGATAAAGTGCAGCGTATCTCCTGCGCCCTTGGTCTCCTGGGAGACGGAGACAGTCCGGCCTTATCGGCTGCACCGACCAGTCGTCCCAGCTCACATGAGAACTGAGTTATTGCTCTGAACGAGACAGGCCACGGCCCTCCGCTTCTCGATATGCAAATGACCTGATCATGACCCAGAGGAATACTGTGTCATCATATCTTCCGCCTAAAGGACAGTGACACACTGAAATGTTGCTCTCTTCCTCCTCGCTCAATTTCATTTATTTCATATTTCCACAATTATTGTTTCGTCCATCACTTCAGTTGTGATTTATTTGTACGCTGGGAACACAGTGCAACGTATCCTCACACAACAGTTTGTATGATATCCTCATTTTTCGTGCCTTTTCCTACAACAGTCGGCAACACCTGTCCATTTCCACTCGTTACATGCAGTCTTTTCAAAATAGCAGGACACTCGGTTAGTGTAGCCAACAAAAGGTTTAGAAAAAGATAGTCATTTCCCACTGCTCCGAGTATTTGTGCTAAGCTAGGCTAACCAGGTAATGACTGCAGCTCTGTAGCCACCATGTTTTTCTGATGTCATTCTGAGGTGAAGATTATTAAACTGCTAATGCACATGCAGAATGTGCAACGATAAACTGGATTAGAGGTCATCAGAAGTTCTTGACCAGGTTGCCCGAATTAATCCGCAGTGTGATACGGGGCTGAGAGGTTCAGAGCAGGCCACCCCAGGATTTAGCTTTTGCTTTAGAGGAACTGCACGTCATCATGTGAGTGTTTCTGTGAATTGATGTGACGCGTGGAGCATCCGTGCCAGTGAACTCAGAGGACCCTAAAGCTGCTTCTTTAGCTTCATTAGACCGCCGCATGTTCCGGCTTTTAATCAAAGATAAGTATGATGTGTGCTTCGCCATAGAGCTCCATTTTTGTCCAAAAACTATTAAAACACATCAATGTTGCACTCGGGTGACATGTTCCTTCATCGCCATGAAGGAACACACAGTAGTTTATTTCGGCTCACTCCCAATATACTGTTCTGCTGTCACTAACACATACTAGAGCGCCACATCATTAATCCACCACTGAAAATACCCCCCCCCCCCCCCC